CTGGACTAGTTTAATAATAGGGATGGTATCCAAATCCATTAAACCTAAAGAGTAACAGCATCTTCACGTTTAAATACATGAGCACTCTCAACATACGGTTTGTTGGGGACACAGGTTGTGGGACTAGCAGCAGCTGCCTGGATCATCCTTCAGCCTATTGTTTCAGGAAATCAGAGTCTTTTCACAACTGCATCACATTACTTTATCTGTTTTTTACTGTTCTGTTGTGACACTATTCCAAAAGTGCCGGCAGAGGTAAAAAAATATTTTCCAAGGACTTCAGCTAGTATTTTAGGGTCTCATTGGTGACTGAGACAGCCCTACACTATCTCATAAGCCTTGAGAGTCTTCCTGAACTTGCGATTATGCTCCCCTGGCATTTTTATTCCTGAACTTGTTGCATACACAACTTGTGAGTTGACTGATCAAACCTTTTTCTAGAATTACCAGGTAAATTCATGTGTACCTCCTGCATTACCAGCTCTTAGTTCTTTAGTTTGCCAGATTTAGCTCTGCTAATTTCAGACAGCTATCCAAGGCTTCCTTCTGAGAGGTTGAAAGCTGCAATAATTCACAGTTTGAAAAAAAAAAATCTTCAAAAGACCCTTCACTAATCATTAAGCCAACAGAATATAAATTTAAATGACTTAATTACTTGTTGCACTAGGTTTTCCGGTTATACTAACCTCAAATTAATTTGGGTCATGATTACCATATTGCTTCAGTCCGTAAGGTGGCAGCTTGACAGTTCTAAATTCCTTGAAAACCTGTTTTAAGCAACTTAAAATTTCTGGTTGTTGATTTTGTTATCTGCTGTAGCTACCCTGAAAGTTTAGAGTTTCTCTAGTGAGTCGGCCAGAAAAGACTTCTCTACAAAGCTTCTTATTGCTGCTGGTAAGCTGCCTGCTAGATCCATAACTCAGAAATGTTTGTTATGCACAAGGTAATAATGAAGCAGCAGAAGGGGAGGCTCTATTAAAAGGGCACTACACTAAGTCACACTCCAGCAGGAGCTGTATTCTTACAGGGGCTGAAGACATTGTACCATGTCCAGGAACTGAAAATGGCAGTCTACTTCATCTTAATCAATTCAAGGAATTAATAGGTAAGTAATATTAGTACAAATCAATGTGAATTTTAACCAGAAATACATTATAAATATTAATTGAAAGTACTAATGTAATAGGCAGTTTAATTACTTTACTAGCAATAGGCAAGAGAATAGGTGCATTCCGTGGCAGCTGTAGGGATACACTTCCCCCTTGCCCCCCCCCCCCCACACAAACAGACTCAGCCTCCTGGGGAAGATCAGATCATCTCTCCTTAACTGGATCTCCTCTCATAATGGTGGTGGTGGTGGTGACGGCGACAGAAGGAAATTAAGGATGCTGACTTGTTCAAAACAAGGACAAGCATTTCCTTGAACTCACATGAGGTAATAAGACAGTGATGACCCATATTATTCAGGGTGAAAGAAGTAAAGAAAATCAGGATTCTTACAAATAGGGGTATAAGTGTTAAAAATCAAATACAAGGCTCTATTGCAATGTTGTAGACAGAAGACAGGAAAGACTGAAATAAAGCAACAGCAGCTGATTTAAATATGAAGTCCATAATTTTAAAGAATTTTCTTTCATATGGCATATTCAATTTATTCAAGCTCTGACCTCCCTAAGAACTTGAGCACAAATGTGGGTTTAGATCACATTTAGAACCCATTCCCGCATTTGTAATATCTTGAAATTAACTAGTGCAATGTTTGAAGGCTTGTTCTGGGTGACATTGCTATTGTATTTGTACACTTTTCCGTATACATACTCTCCTGGTAATTCCCACGGCTTCCCTAGATGAAATACATAACACAGTGTTTTCCATACCAGTCAGAAAAGATTCAGAGAAAATCACAACCAGTATGAAATAGTGCCATTTACTCTTCAGTAAATGATACAGGCATTCGTGAGAGGCCACTGGGAGCAAACACTGATAGAAGCCTTCCATAGGGTCAGTTCTAGGAAGATTTCGTTTTTAGTTTTGGGCAAATGCCATCAAAAGCTTTTTCTCCTTTCCTTTTGAAAAGGTTATATAAATCCTTTATATATATATAGGTTTTTATACACACATATATATAGGAGGTTTATATATATAAATCCTCCTGGAAGCCTAAGAAAATTTCAGGAAATCTCCATGTGCTGGCTTCTAACTCCAGAATTCTGTTTCGAATTCTCTTTACTCCTCTGCCCTATCTGTATGCAATCTGGATCTAGCTACTCTACTACAACCACCTGTGTTCCTCCCTGTACAGCTGGCAGAAAAACAAAATTATAAAACCTGTTTTCTGTAGTCCAAACAAGCCATTTCACATGGTGTACTAATCATGCTATTGGCAAATTAAATATAAGCAATGTAATGGCAAAACTTACCAAGAAACCATTAAAAAATGATTATTTACTGGACATAAAATTATATACTTTGGCTTATAGCTTGGCTATATCTCATGGGAGTGCTTTTCCTCTCTTGCCATGCTAGTTGGTTCGTTAGTACCTCCTATCCCCTAAAATTTATTTCTTTATTATCCTCCTTTATCCTCGAAGCACACAAATTTTCCTCTGGTCATAAAAGGAACAAGTAAAATGTTATATGATATAGAGCTGCTAAATATGATGATGAGGGAAGTGCAATGAGAGACTGCTTAAAACTGTCAGCTAGACAACTTGTTTGGAGTGAAAATGATAAACTGTACTAGTTTAAAGTGAGAATACCTCAAAGGGCCCTTAAGCCACAGTAGTTAACATCAGGAAGTTCTAAGTACTTGCCATGATTCAACTTAACTTACAGCAATTTGCATACCCACACAAAAGTCTTGTCATAGTTGACCTAGGACTGCTGAGTACCATTCCCCACCCACATGCATTTAAAAAAACATTTAAAAAAGGAAATCAGCAGCCAAGATACTCAACGCACCATCTAAATACCATTAATCATTCCCCCTTTTCCTCTCGGCTTCTTCCGGTCTTCTTCAACCACCAAATCTACCTCATCAGTGTGAGAAACTAAAGTTCGAGGCACCAGGGCATCTCTGCTGTGCCCATGCCCGAGACACAGGTCTGCCCCTCATCACCCTGCTTGGATTCTCCTTTTACGTTCTCATGCGTCACCCTACAGACTCTGCTCCAAGATCCATCTACCTCCCTGCCCTGTATTTCAGCTTTCTTCTCTCTGACTTTCAGTGTCTGATCCTTCCCTGCCCTCCTCAATACCACTGTTTATTTTGTTTTACCTCTGGAGCGGCCTGAGCAGAGGAGAGTCAGCTTGTTGCTGGCTTGGATAGGGGCAGCAGATGTGATAAGAGAAGATGCACTGGAAGCAGATAGGGAGTGTGCTCTGTTTTTTCTGCATGTTGACCATGCTGCATGCCACAGCTCAGGTTAAAGAGTGCAACACATCTGCAGCGTTCAGGAGCCTCAACTTGCACATTAAGGCAATGTTGAAATATACTCTGTATTGCCAGGTCTCATCCATTCAAGGAATTTATCACACAGCTGCAAGGACTAGAACAGCTTATACATTACACGTTATATTTGGATTTGAAGAAGCCTGTGCCAGTCCATACAACTATCAAAGTTTTGTGTAGAGCTGTGGTAATCATGGATTGGAGGCCTTTTCTTTTGGAGACCCACAAGGAGGCACAATGATCACCACGAGCAAAACCTGGATGACATCAAGTGTGAGCTCTACTGAGCCAGTTGGACTGCACACCCTGTTCCTCCCTAGAGGTTTCCTCAGGCAGCGATGCAAAGCACCATGCCAACAAAGTAGCATCAGAAAATTCCTCCTACAATATGGAAAAGATAAAAAATTACCCTTGGGCATATCAATACCTCTTTCCATCTCCCTCAGCCTTTTAAATTTTGACCAGCAATGTGTTGGAATGAAAAAAAGGTTTTTCCCAAAGCCATTATACAGACATCTATGAAAAACTGCAGTTTTGACAAACTGGCATTCTAATGAAAAAGCATTTTGATGAAAACATTTTTAGCTAGCTCTGTTCCAGACAGGATTGGGCTTTAGACTGAGAGGACAGTCTCGCAGAGGCTAGTCCCGTAGAAACTGGAACAATGAATGTCCCATAAGCATTCACAAGACTAGCTGGCATTTGGACTTCCTCCAGTCTGGATCCTATTTCTCGGTAAAGCAATGTTAAAATGACTGTCGTGTTAGCACCCTGAACTACCAAGCTTGTGAGAATGCTGCTGCCACAATATTTTCGGTACAGATTATTTGCGTGGTGGTTTTTTTACATGAATGGTTGTATCAGTATTCTGCATCAATCGCCAATATTCCATATCGGCAGACTCTTCAAAATGATCACCATGAGAATACTGACATACACGGTCTCAAAACCAGTTAATTTTAAAATGCTTTAGAATGTGTTTCTTAAGGGTAGCTACCAAAATAAATTTTGTCATAATCAGAAACACTATTCCCTTTATTCCATAAACGTTAAGTGGCTCTGTCTTTCAATTAGAATTATGAAGCAGTAACACTCTGCCAGCCTATTCTCAAATACAGTATGCTTTCAGTTCTTGGCATAGTTCCAGGATAAATAAGGCAATTTTGTACAATGACTAGCTTTTACACAATTATTTTGGACCATTTCCTGGAATCAGTTGATAGTGTCATTGTCAGTTGAGTTAAATCGCTCAGAAATATTATGTCGTGCATACATTGTATTCCTTCCAACTGCTTTCAATGCCTGAAGAGAATTTTACTAGTATTAAATAGTTTTGTAAGAGAGTGACATCTCACCATGTCAAGTGTTTTCTAAGAAGAAATCACATGAATAACCACAAGTGTTCATTTCACTTCATTTTTACTGATTACTTTTGCCACAAAACTTTATAAAGTATTTTCCTTTTATTCAGCTTAGTGTATGTTAACTAGGAGAGAACACAAAAATCATTATTAAATTGCCCCTAGATGAATCAAAACTTGTAAAAGGCATGAGGAAGCATAAGGTAGGTGTTAACACAGTGATGTAAACAGTAGGTTACAGGTGGAATGAAACTCTAGGTAGGAGTACTTTAAAAACTGGCTCAAGGCATACTAAAGATCACCAATGAGAGCCTTTAACGTCTCTGAAATAAGAGAACTGAGAGATGTAACTACTGATTATGCGCTTAAAGCAAAAACACAGATGCAGTATCTGTAGAAGTACAAAATGTATATTAAGCCTCTTTCAGGTCTGGAAAGTCTGAGGTTATACCATTTCACAAGGTAGATACAACATGAGGAAGCTCAGTTCTAAATTTTTCCTCTTCTGCCAACGACAGCATTGAATGAGTCCGTGGATTTATGTCCCGATGATTTTAATCCATCAGATTAAATGAGAGATTGCTGGCTGAGGCTCTAGTTAAACTGTCTCAGACAGATTTTATTGTGCCTCGGACGTGCTGAAAGTCTGAACAACGTGACGTAATGGGGAAAGGCAGGAGCTTTCACTGTGGTTTTTGGTACGTTCCTTCCACAAGCTTATAAACATGCAAAGGCCCATTGTCCCTCCAAATGCCCGTTTCCTTCGCTGCCTTGAAATCCGGACGGGCTGGGAAGCTGCTGTGCTAACATTTCTGCAAGGGAATGGTTGAACTCTCTGACTCCCAAAGGCCCCAATTGCTATCAGCCAGGTCAGCAAGGCTGCAATGAAGGAGAAGAAGGGCAACATGCTGCTTCTTCTGGTGACATTTAGCCATATAGGCTGCTCTATGGTACTGCTTTAAATATCACACTCAACCTCCAGTACGGAAAGAGAGAAACGCAGTAAGACAGGGATGTTCAGATACAATTTCCTATGTGTAAAAATGCTAGAATCTGGATCTGGATGTGGTTTCTGTTAATAAGCAAAAGAAAACTTGGAGCATAATCTTAAGGTTCTGTGTTTCCTGGCCACTTTTAGACATTTCCAGACAATGAACTGGGCTCTTGCAAACTGAATCCTGTAGGCTAATCCTGAAGGCCTGTCTCCTGCGGTGGGTTTCTTAATTCCATGTTTTCCTGAGTGGGAGTTTGCCCTCAGTCTTACTCATTTCTTGGTCTTGTACTACAGCCTTTTCAGAACCTTGAATTCAGACTTGTAATCTGTTTTGAGTGTGGTTTGGGGGCAATTCTCCGCTTATTTTTGCTCCAGTAGCCAAAAAGCTAGACCAATACAGGTTTTAAACAAGGCATTTTTTCAGGAGGCTGCATTGAGTCCCAGAGGTCCTCCTGCCTGCCTTCAGGTGACATTTCCTTCCCGGGGGTGGTAAACGGATGGGGCATCTGCTTGCCTCCCTGCTGTCCCCAGCTTTCAGCAGTCCCTCACTCAGCACACAGGCTTTCTCCCATACTTGGTTCCTGTAGCTGTGATTTTAAAGCTTGGGATCTGCAGCATCTAAGTCTTGTGGCTCTGGGAAGGGCTATCAAACTCAGCCTTACTTACTAAATAGTGTGTGTGGAAGGGAGCAGTACAGATACTTCAAACTTGGAGCAGATACTTCAAACTTGGAGACAGATCACAGGAGACAACTGTTCGTATCTATGTAGATGGTTTATGTGCTATTTAACAAGACAGCTGAATCCTCTACAAATAAACAGGCTTCCTTTTTTTAACAGTGCTTTAACCCTCATCCTGCGTGAGGAATTTATTTGATAAAAAAGCTTGACCTTCTTTTTTTTGTTAATATTGCTTTTTTTGCAACTCTAACAACCAGAGCAACTCTTCACAAAACCTGGCAGACAATCATGTTTTGACTATGAGTAGCTACGATTCAAAACTGTCAGTTTTCCTGAAGAAGATTATGCTGAAAGCCCCCTACTTTTTGGTGAAAAGTTATCTTGGAGAAAACAAATCACCGTCAATTTCCCAGGATTAAAATCCTGAGCCTTTGACTTGCTCAAAGCATTTCTTTAGCCATGGAAGAAGAGACTAAGACTGTCTAAAGGCAGCAAAAGTCACCACCGCAACAGCGAGGGATGAACGGAAAACAGCTGCATTTGGCAACAAACCAGGTCACGTTCCAATTAGGTTGTTGAGTATTTTACAGAAGCCATTCAGTCATCAATTAGTTCGACATACAGAAAGGTATCTGGTAACCGTTAAGCACTTTTACAGAAACCTGTATGCCAGCAGAGAATATGCTAGAAACCCTTGCCATCCTTAGACATTTTTGTAGAAAGCTGTATGCCTAGCGAGAACAAATAAAGGCTTCTTTTAACACCAACCTCAATTTTCTTTACTAAGACTTCAGCTCCAAGCTGAGCTCCAGGTGAATCACAGGGCAAAGACGTTCATTCTTTCCAGCGGCCTTCCCAGTGACAATTTTTCTCTTTAGAAGGGTATTCTGCAAGTTTTCTGTTAACTGCTTTTCCCCCAAGTTGCTCGCCATGTTACAGCTTTCTGTGGGCAGGGGAACCCTCTCCATGCCTGGTGAGATAGGAGAGCATTACTCGTTCAGCTTCATAAAGGACACCTACCTGGAAAACGGAAAACTATACGGATTAATTTGAACAACAGGATCTTATCTAAGGCTTCCCCTATCTACACACCGATACTGTTAGAATTAAGCAAACAAGATCAGACTAGGTGCTGATTAAACTAGTATAGAAACCTCAAGAGCCCTGAATTTACTTAATATCTAGAGCAGGAGGACATTTTTGAAGTACTAGATATAAATAAAACTCTCTGCTGAATTACCTAGGTCTGTTGAAAGAAACAAATTTGCAACAGCCTGGTTAGATATGTTATCTATAAAAACATCAATATTGACTAATTTTGGGAATGGGAAAAAAAAGGCATAAAGACTAGCCCTAGGTTACTTCTGTCTGACGGAGTACAATGCAGCAAAACCAGTATCAATTTCATGCATAACGTTGCACATAAGCACTAGGCATGGCCCAGTGCAGTGATGCTGAGGCAAGTTTCCAGCCCTTTGCTCCGGAAACATTCTTACAAACACTATTCAGAGGAACTGAGTATGGGTCGGGAAGGGGTATATGAGGTGATGTGGGCTTGACAAACTCTCAGTACTCTGAACCAGCACAATCACCCTTATCGTCTGGCCGTTAAAAATATGTCTTTCTTATGCCTGAAATTTTCACCTCTTCTATTAATGGAATAACATACGTGGTAGCGAATAGAGCTTTATGATCTTTACACGGTTTGCACAGAGTTTCCTGAGTAACACCATTTATTTACGCAGCGTTCAGCTCCTGTAAAGCATGTCAGAGAGACGGGCAAGGAATTCTTCTCATGGCAGGGTATGCTGCTTTGGATGTGAAAGAGGCCTTGGTAGCTGCGCGGGATTGAGAGATCTGTGATACGTGGCTTTAATTTCCCTCTGTATTTGACCCGAAACCTATAGTCACACACATTGATGTGTTGTGTGGTTCATACGGTTTCCTAAGTCTAATACAATGTATAGCTAAGGTAACATTATGGATCTGTTGTTGAAAAGTTGGGACACACTCTGTGTGTGTGTGTGTGCGCGCGCGACTGTGAGTTTGACTTACAAAGTTTTTGACTCCACAAAGCTTTAATTTCTTACCAATACCTTCAGTAATGTTCACAACGTAAGATGGAATAGGCACTAAGCTGTGAATGCTGCACTGAACTGTTCATAAAAATTAGGCTTTGGAACAGAGGCACCTTTAAAGAAATAAGTTTACTGGAAACTTAAGACAGCCAGGTTTTGGGGTTTTTTTGCAGCTTTTTACAGAAAAGCTCATGCCAATTATTTGCACTGTTGGAGCAGGTGTCCTTCTAGACTACTGCCGCTGACCCCCAAGGAAAGGAAGGGTAGTGGCGCGCTGGCGTGGGTGTACGTACCCTCTCGCAGGCTAACAAGCACAGAAAAAGGCAAAAAGCCTGGGATAAAGCCTTGCACAATTCTAGCATGTTCGGAAGCGTCTAGCATTCTAGCATCTTCTTGTATTTTAAGCCGGAAGATTCTTCTGGAGGCAAAACTTTTGGAAACATCTTTGTAATCAACGAAGTAAGATTTAATCTTTAGTTCTTCACCCTTTTTCCTTCTCCCTGTAAAACCAGTAGGAAAAACCCCACGTATTTTTTGCAGCTAAATGTAACTGCAATCACATATGAGCAGACCCAGAGAGTTTTCCTAAAAACAAAGTAGGATTGGCATCTAATGTAATATTTCTTTGTTGTAATCTTATGCATTTTTGTGTGACTGAAGGAAACGTTTTCTAAACAAAGGGTCAAATTCAGGTTCCGGTGAAATCGGGGTGTAAATCCACACTCCTGGCAATGGGACCAGAATTTGCTTCAAGTCCACTCTACCAAGAGGAAGAAAACTCTTCAGCTCGAATATGTTTAAAACACAGATTTAATTGACCCACTGCCAGGAATTCTCTAGGAAATGAGGAGATTTTGATTGTACTTGCGGAAACATGATTTTTAGACCTATACATCTAGGACATTTATTGTCCTAGACGAAATCCTGAAACCTTCAAAAACATTAGGTTTAGTGAGTCGCTTTCAAACTCTGTGCTGTTTTTGCTAATCGTTCACCTTGCTGGGGTTTATCCCAGCACGACTGTGAAATGCCAAAGGCCCAGATGGGATCTCTCTTAGAGCCAAACCAGCACCTCTTACGGACCAGCCCCTTTGCCTTGGGTGGAAGGGGACCCGGGGGCGTGTAGACCGAGACTGACAGACCTCCACTTACTCCGCGTGGTTACGGCAAGATTTTTGTTCTCAATTAAACTTTTAAGAGCTGCTTTAAGTGGCTGTGAGGGAGCTCTCCGGGCGCGACGTTTCGGCCAGAACAGCTGTTCCCGCTGCCCCGTGTGGCTTCCCCGCCCCGCCGGGCTCCGCGGAGGCAGGGAAGGGGTGGCGGACCCCGTTCCCCCTCGGAGCGGCACTTTTTGGGAC